TTGACGACGAAGATGATTTTATGGGAGAGAATTCCTTCGCTTTTCGCGAATTAAGCCATCTCTACATGATGGAGGCGGAGAAAATTCGCGATCCTTCGGAGCTGAAGAAACGGATTGACGATCTGAATGCACTGTCGGCGATCTTTTCTTTCGGATACGATCGTGGGCGCCGAAGAGGACGACACGGCTGGCATCACCATAGAGATGAACTGTGATAGGGAACCAGAAGTACCACAGGACGTGCAGGTGTTATCTTTTTCAACCCCATTCTTGCGTACAAACACCGGCAACCTATGCAGGTTTTGACATCTGGAAAGGGAAAATCCTCGTTTTCAGGGACGCTTCCCTGGGAACGAGGTTTCAAGTACTCTCGTTCAGTCAGCTTTACATAAGTAGGTAAAGGGATTCAATAAGGTACTCTCGGCTTGGTAGGTCGAGACAAATTGGCTAATAGTCAGGGTTTCATTTTGAACACCTGTTTTGTCAAGAAGTTTTGAAACCCTTCCAACATTTCTCCCCCTCCAACTTCCAGTGTGTTTATAAACAAGCGATAAATGCATACCATTTCACCGGCTTGTTAAAGATATTTTGCTTGTGTTAAGCTTTGTCTCTGTAAATAGACAGTTGTAAGTGTACAACAGAACATGTAACATTAACTTTGATGAAAATGATCTGAAAAGAATTTCGTCCGGCCTTTCAACTTTGATGAACGTCCTGTTTATATTACATTTTACCACTTCTTACATTTTATCTATCCCTGAACCAATTCAATGCAAAAAAAAAATAATAATAATAAAATAAATAAATAAAAATAAAAAAAAATTACTGCTTTTTTCTTGAATAATTACGTTTTTGACAGACTGACGTAAACGGAAGTCAAAATATCTTTTCTTTAGTACGTACTTTGTTCAAAAGTTCAAGTTGTATTAAAATAGTAAATAAAGGCCTTACAACTCATTGGAGCAGGGTGAAAACGCCAAGGACATAGACGTTCGTTGGCGATTGAGAAGGCGGGCGTTCCGTGACGTCGATAGTCTGTCGCCAGTGGCCTCGTTCGTTTTAGAGCACTTTCATTTCCTTAACATGAAAGTCTCGTTCACAAAGCTAGAGCTATTAAAGTGCTCAGTTCCAAACTATTTTTTGATGATGAGTGCTGTACGGGTTTTCTTTCCCATTCATAGTACAATGTGTTTCGTCGGAACGTGTTCATTCAAATTGAAATTCGTTGGAGCTATTACAGGTTTTTTTTTAATCTACGAATTTTCAACAGAGCGATCAATATGATCGGGTGTTTACTTATAGCAGTATAAAATTAAACAGTATAAAATTTCTTGGTTACAATGTTTACATGTTTATCACCAGTGAACCTTTTATTCCTACCATTTCTATTTGCCATTTAACGATTATTGGAATGCAGCAGTGTCTTAAGCCAGTTCGATACAGTGTTTTAAGTTTCGCAAAGTCAGTTCTGTTTCGATTCTATTTATAGTTTATTTTGGTAATCTTGGTTGCCATTCATAANTCAATCAGGAGTTGAATTAAAGGCAAACAAATTTTTGTTTCACAAATTTAAAAAGTCCTGGAACCTATACAATAAACCATTCATAATTTTCAATTTAGCTGCTCTTAAACTACTTGAAGTTATAATGGCGGTTTTTAATGTTTTTTTTTTTTAACATTTTATCCAAACGGCAGCTGTGGTTATGCCTTCCGTCTGCTATTTCGCCGCTTTCGTTCTTCGCAAAATCATTGTATACAAAGTGTGTGCCATTGCTCTACGAATCTCTCTCATTCGGTAACAATAAATGAGCGGGTTGAGGGAAGAATTGATGTTTACAATTGTTAGTGTAAAGTTGATTGCTATCCAGTTCCCTGTTTTATAGCCTGTAACTTTTCCCACAGCCAGGCAGACTGAGTAAGGTAGATAACAGCATAAAAGCACACAATATACTAGAAACATGTTATAAGCTGATTTTGTTCGGCGGCGCATATTGTTGGGATCTGCTGCAACTTGGCGGCTTTCGATTTGCTTTTGATGCGAACGAGCGATGCGATAAATTTTCACATAGGCCACGGTGGAAATGACCAAACATAGTACTATTCCGGTAGCGAAATAGTGGGACTTGTAAGACGGGACAAACACAACCCAGACGATAGCGGAAATTCCACTCCAAAGCCACACAAAAGCGAGAATTCGCCGGACCCTCTTCATCGTAACAACATGTTCGTAGCGAAGGTGAAGACGAAGCGACAGATACCGTTCCAAGCTGATTACAGTCACGGTTTGGAATGAAACAACAGACAAGAACGCAGCTGTTATTACCAAGGCAGCAGCGGATATGCAAGTAAAATTCGCTGTTTCTTGCTTAGCAAACGAGATTAAATGGGCAATGAAGAATGGTTGGACGAACAAGCCGACACCCAGATCTGACGTAGCTAATCCAATCAGCAACATGTTTGCCGGGGTACGGAGCGAGCGTGAGCGCCATATTGAAATTATCACAAGAGCATTGGCCAGCGTCGCTATAATGGAGAAGGGAACGTTTACAGCAGCGTTTACAAAGAAAGCCGTCTTAAAGGGAGCATTCCCAACTGTTGTCNATAGCTAATCCAATCAGCAACATGTTTGCTGGGGTACGGAGCGAACGTGAGCGCCATATTGAAATTATGACGAGAGCATTGGCCAGCGTCGCTATAATGGAGAAGGGAACGTTTACAGCAGCGTTTACAAAGAAAGCCGTCTTAAAGGGAGCATTCCCAACTGTTGTCATGTAGCGATAGCCATTGAAACGGTCGCAGAAGTTATTTTCTAAAAGGTCTGAAAAATTTGTCATATTGATCTTCGCAGCATGCAGAAGTGTGGAGTAAATCTCTAGCAACCTCTGGCTGGTAGTGAAACGCAATGTAGATGCAACTCGCTGAATTTTGCTTTTAAAAGGTGGGCTGTCCATCCAACCTTTTCAGCCAATCACAAGGCGAGCACGTGAAAAATATTAGCTTCACTTCAATGTTTTTCACCTCGGTGCGGATATATCGGCAACGAAAGTGGGCCGCGTTAATAGGCCTGTTAAACACATGACAGATATATTATATCTTGACCCCATGGCTTCTTTTTTTGCTAATTGCGTCAATAGCCAGATAAGCGAAGTACGTCTTGACGCAAAAGTTGTTGGGTATGTTTTGGCATTTTGTGCCGCGCGGTAAATAGTAAGCACCTTGGTTACAGAGTTTAATGTTTATCACCGCAGTGTGCCCTTTATTCCTAATGAAGACGGTTAAAATGCCGTAAAATAAGGTCGTATTTTGTATCTGTTTTTATTTCGCCACCTAACAACAATTGGAATAAAGCAGTGATAGAAATAAGAGCGTTTACGACACAGTTTTAAGTTTGGAATAGTCAGTTCCGTTTCGATTCTGTTTGTGGTTTATTTTGGCAATCGTGGCTTCCATTCATATTCTTTTTTATAAAACCCGACTGTAGCATGCAACTCAATCAGAAGTTAGTTAGTGTAAAGTAAGGCCTGGGTCAGGAATGTAAAGTAGAATTATGGTTGGGCAGCTATATCTCTTGTTATATTTGTTTTACCAAGCTGAACTTTCCCC